CACGATTGACTGGGTAGATCTGCGGCAAAGGTGTCTTTCCTGGAGATCCTGGGGAGTGGCGGGTTGGTCCGATTGGTTTCATACGTGGTGCATAAAAGTATATCAGATTCCAGCTACCTTCTCCACCAATTGTAGGTACATTTAAATCTCCCTGGGTTACCCTTCGCTCATTTCCCAATTCAAGCCATCGACGATGGACCACATGCCACTAGAAGGGCTCAAAACCTCGCAGGTGACAACCACCCCGTTACCAAGGGGATAGGCGGATATCGGTGATCTCCCCCCTCGAGAGGGACTTTATGTCCTTGAAAACGTCCTCCATGGGAGTGACAAGGAAATACCCCTGGCCACCAGCCTCTTTGGGAACCTGACCAGTAAATAGAAGTCCCAACCCCTCGCCAGACGCATTGTACACGACTGCCCCTGAATCTCCCTCGTCCGCAAAGGGCGTAGACGAGCTGCCGTCATCTTTTCCTCCGTGCGGGACGAAGACGTATTGCGACGACATCTGGGCACCCATGTACTCGTCATACTTCACCTTGGAGTCGGTTCTGTACCTGCTGTAAGATCCCAGCGTCTGGCCTGACCTGGCGCCAAGCTTAAATGCTAGCTCTCCGCCATGTAACTTGGAGATGGGTTGAGAAGGGGCAGGCTTGAGGGGCACGCCGTTACCTCCCGGCAGTGGACGGTGGTTATGTGCATATTTCTCTATCCAGCTGGCATATGTGGGGAGCTTGTTTCCCCCCTGGCGGTCCTGTATGACGTCTAGCAGCGCCCAGTCTAGCCGCTGATTGTCTTTAGTTCTCTGCCCGAGTCCAGACGCGGCCCAGATCGCCCCGAGAACGTGTTTCTCTCCGTCGAAGAAGGCGATCTTTCCCTCGAGTTCGGTTCCCATGTGGTGCTTCAGGTCACTATATTCCTGGTTGTCCCCACCAGCTTCCTGAAGATCACGTAAAGTGTGTTTTAATTCGTATACGGAATAATTGTGCGCCCAGCGTGAGGGCGACTCGACGGAATGGCAGGAAACTGGGGAGTTCGGAAAACGGCCGCGAAGGTCCACTTCCCTCAACGTTGTATTGTCGGCAGGATCTTCCGGTACACTCTTCCAGAGACCATTAGGCTGCCTTACGGCCTTGACACTAAATCCCTCGAAACATGGGCGAATGGTATGATAGCTAGTCAGACCGTACCTCCTCCAGTCCGGACTCGTCCTCTTGACCTCTACATAGCATCCCAAGGTCCCAAATCCCGGATTCGACAACTTCCCATCGTCCCTCTTCAGGTATAGACTGGGCCCGAAATCATCTCCGAGATTGACCAGCTTCTGGTAGACCCTGGAGGCTCCAGGAAGGGGTCTAGTCGGGGGCTCGGCCACATCTGGCCCTAGTAGCTGGAAGGCGAGGGACTGCACCGTGTTATGCTCCATGTGAGCCGTTAGATCGTGCGGCAGCCCGTCCAGGTAAAGCTGGATATCCCTCAAAACCTGTGGCCAGGCCTCGTCGGGGCTGTCGGGATCCATCGAGATAAAGACGGTGATCGGGTTGTTGCTAGGGTCAGACCAGTATCCGAGACGAAATAGGGAAAGCGCATTCATTCTGCCCTTTGTACTCATCCGGCTTTTGAGCATGGAGAAAATATTGCCCTGTATTCCAGGCCAATCACTCTCTAACTGCGGGTTGTCGAGGACTGGTCCCAGTACTTTGCCGTTCAAAACCAGCGGGTTAGCCATCTCGACACAAACGCAGAACTTATCGCCCAAGTTGGCGCCGTGTAGCCTGCGGTCGACAAACTCCTTGACTTTGCAAACGATCCTCTCCCAAGTTATGGGACTGTCCGCCGCCCATGGTGCAACAATTAGGAGAGTAGGTTGGGCTGCGCTGCCCTCTTCGAACGGATGGCGAGGCGCGAAGTCGACGTCTTTGGGTTCGAGGTTGTTTTTTGAGAGGATTTCTTCCACCCTGGAACAAAACTCGTGTTCAAATCGACAGAGCTCTTGGAACCTCTTGTCGATGACGATCCAGATGAGGAAAGATCCCAGTGGTGCCGGTGCCGCGACCCGGAACTTAGCATGGCCGACCTTGAATGGCTGTGAACCGCCTTCAGTGGAAGATCCCGGCGGCAGTAGGGGACTGACCCCTGGAGAACTATGGGACATCGTCGACGACGTGAAGAAAAGGTTCTGAGGGTTTAAGAGAAATACCGTTCTGGTGTGATTGGATTGGGTAACGGTGGTCAATGGATAGGAATTGAGCAGGAAAGAAAACTTGTGTGGAAGCGGTTGGTGAGCGAAATTGGGCGACGAGGTGTTTTAAGTTTGAACAACATGAAGTGGTTTGAGGTAAGTCTTTCCTGGATTCAATGTAACTACCTTATTGAGAAGGCTTGCGACGAATTGGGAAAGAGACAAATGTACGAGCAAAGGTAAAGTGTTTCTCTAAATGCATATTTGCAACAACGGGTAAATCCTGCTATTGAAGAGCCCACTGAGAACGTGTGAGGCCCTGGGTAACACTGGCCGAATAAAGTCCCAACTATTCATCAGGGACACGTTCAATACAGGAACAACACCTTGAATCTTGGCCATAACTGGTCCTATTATGAATGAGGCCAGGTGCTGTTATCTCTACCAAAATCTCAGATACAGGAAACTTTCCAGAGAAGCTAGAGGCTGCTGATCTTAGTCCCAATGATCCATCTGTTGCCAGGGTGCTCCGTAACTGTGAACACCTCCTTCGACCTCTTATCATATGTCATGTCCTCTGGCCCGGCCGTAACGCTCTCAGTAATCGTGGCCGGGCCGCCTGGCGTCCAGGTGAAGAAATCGCCGTTCTTACTCGCACCATTGCTCCTAGAGATGTAGATCTTCCCATCCGCGCTCACCGCCCCCTGCATGCGATCGATACCCACACAGTAGGCCCAGCTCGCAGACGCAATGCTATTAGCATTCGTCTTGAGTCTCCTGGTAGTGTAATCCAGGTCCCACCTCACATGACGGGTGGGATTCACCGAGCTGTCCGGCTGGTACTCGCCCACCAGGATGCTGTCCGGACTCGTGGTGCGGTCTAGCGAGATGTACGAGAAGCGGAAATTAAAGGACGGCGTCCACTGGTACCACGTCACCTGTGGTATCACGTATCTGTAGCCCTGAGCGGTGTACCCGCTGCCACTCTTGCCCACGGCGTCGCCGATATCGACCTTCCAGATGTTATCCAGATCGAATACGCGGATCCCATTGCTCGTGTCCACCACTGGGTCATGGTTAGCGGTTAGGATCAGTAGATAGGACTAGGCCGTTGTAGTCGACTACGTACCCCAGAGCGTGTTGCCGTACCACACGATCCCCCCAGCGTGTATGGGAACAGCCCTGAAGTCGTCCTTCGCGTGCGGGTACACGAGGAGCACGTGCCTATACTTCAGGGTGTTCTTGTCGACGAAGGTGAGACGGGCGCTGGTGTCATCCGCGTCGTGCCAGCTGACGACCCAACCATCTTTACCCTGATACGTGCCAACATCGAGCGCGTCGGCCGTGGAGGAGATACCTTGGGGATACCATTTCTGCGTGTTGACGTCATCGAAACCATCCACGCTCTCCCACCTCCAGGAGGTCCCGGCCGAGTTGGCGACCATCTTGTGGTTGCCATCGTTGAAGACGTCGGCGACGGTGACGATGCTGTTCTTGGCGGCGAAGATGCTGCGGAGGGAGGCGACGTTGGCGTTGTTAGGCTTCTGGAGCAATTGGAAGTCGGAGCCCTTGAGTAGCTTTGCGCTCGTGCAAGTGGCACTCGGGTCCTGCGCGAGAACCGAGGCGGTGTAGCAGAGGGTGAGGATGGAAGTCAGGAGCTTCATCTTGGAGGGCGATTATTGATTTCGTCTTGGCAGGGGCCGGGAGACATGGGCTTAGGTTCCAAGTGCCGGAGATGCAGGGGAATTTAAATGCTGGGCCCCGTGCTCATATGACGGAGCCGAGGCTGCGTCGCATCAGCTTTCAGGTATGTTCCAGCGGCCGTTGGTTCCTCCGCCGTGGGGTAGGATTACGGGCGTCCTCCTATCATTCAGGCACACTCCCACCAATCGTCGTCGAGCTAGGCAAACGAGGTGCTGGGTATCCCAAGGCGCGTAACTAGCACCTGGACGAATTGCTCTTCGACCAAGGGTCATCCGCGCGGGGGCATGCCTGGAAGGGCGGGGACGAGTATGCTTCTGGCTGTACGTTCTCAGGGGCCAAGTGCGATTATGGAAGGTAGCTGAATGATGTTACTCCTTAAGTGGGGATATGCTTGGCCTGCATCATGATGAAATGAGGGGCTCTTCTCTAGGGTCACACGAGGAGACCACACTATGATACGGATGCAGATCACAGCGCTAGCTATACCGGAAGGGAACAGCTTTTATACTGGCATTCTACTCCACGATCAGCCCCCCACAGCCCCTCCATACACGTGGTTCGCAGATAGTCTCCAATTGAATGGGAGTTACTAGCTTGCGTCCTTTGATGTCCTGTGCAGGATACTCGTACAGGGATCACTTCGCTCCCCTAGCCCTAGCCGGCCGATTGCCAAGGGGTTTCGGTCGACGCTTCTGGAAAATACCAGACCGAGGGAGGGCGGGGGCTGGCTCTCGTCTCCGACACTTCCACACACACAGTATTACGTGAGGCATTCCTCCAAGTTTAAAGCTGCTGAATGATTGGGCTTGCTGCGCCCTCGAACATGATAATCTGCGTCATATTACACGATGCACCCAGTGTGGTAGAAGAGAGATCGCCGTAATCAGTCGGACAGGCGGGTCAACCCACACCCGGTGGAGCAAAAAAACCTTAAAGGGCGATCGCCACTTTGACATCGGATTCGACCCCGCACAAACCACCCGTCCTGCTTACTTCGTATAGAATGGTAATATCACATCTATTAATAGTGTCGACGTCGAAAACAAAGACCCCCGCTTGCTCGTTACGTGTAATCACGCCAGGGTGAAACACAAAAACAAAAGTACAAAAATGATGATAAGAGTGGGATTCGAACCCACGCCTCGTGAGAGACTAGCAGTTCCGGTTCCGATGTTCGGATCCTGAAGCTAGCGCCTTAGACCGCTCGGCCATCTTACCGTCTGTTGACTTGCTTTCGAGGTCCGCTAGTCGTACCCATTCACCATTGTCGCCAGTCGTCCCAACGTTCCACGCCAGCTTATTGCCGGGAACCTAAACACGGGCCGCCCATCTTTGGCGGCGAGGACTTTCGTAGAGGTATTGCCATATCAAGCTTTCGTCCAGAACAATAACGTGCTCCTGCTCGTCTCCGGCAATTGAATGGCTACATGCGCTTGAAAATAGGTCGTATATCACGATACATTGACAATCGTCAGTCAGTGATGCTGCCGGTATTATCCAAGTCCCATGTCTGGACTGTGATGTGCACGGACAGTCCTTCTTGGCTGCGTCTTCAAGTGCCCATTATTTTGCTCGGCAGGCATCGATTGCGACCTTGAGAGCCATTTAGTGAACGGAGGTCCTCAGGTGCAAGAAGGCAGGCCGCGGTGAGGTAGCCGCTAAGATTAGATGATGGCAGATGCTCAGTTGTTTGCTCGGCCCATAGCCTGACGGTGGGACCTAGAACCAGAGACAACATAATACCTGACCCCCCAGCCTTTTTCGATTTGACACCATGTTGCCACGGATACCACTCAATGGAATCTTTCTCTACCAGTGTTGGCTTGTGTTTTACATTGTGCTACCTACCTCTCTGTGCCTGTGCAGGTTACTCACGGCGAGTCTGTCGACGGACAACCTATTGTCTACTCTAGCTCCTCCCATGAGAACGAAATTGTTGATAACCAGCATTGCTCTCACGAGACTAAAGTGAGCTATGCCACAAATTTTGGGCCGTGGGGTCAAACTGTTCAGCAGAAACAAGAGCGTAGCGTGGGATTCGAAAATCAGGATGAGGTCGCCGTTGAACTTGGATTCTTCGCGAGGACATCAGGTCAAAACCTTGAACTCTTTGCCTTCATGGAGCTCCGCGGGTCCCGTACCACGAAAGTAGGCTCATCTGCCAAACACTACAGGGTAGACCAACAATGATGACTCATCGCACTAGGGCATGCCCAACTAGGCTAACCCTCATAGTCTACTTTTCAGGACAGACATTCACAATCCAGTAACTCGCCCGGTTAGCTCAATCGGTAGAGCGTCAGACTCTTAATCTGAAGGCTGCGGGTTCGACCCCCGCATTGGGCTCAATCCCCAATGCACCCGAGATGAAACTCGGGTACCGCATAAATCTTTTAGAATTTTTTTTTTCGTGTATTAGTTCTTATCCTTCTTCCCTCGTCTTGTTTTTACCTCATCCCGCTCATTCCCTGTTGCTTTATACTGTAGACAATGTCATCCATGTGAACTTTCGAGTCGTCCTTCTCGGGATTGTCCCAGGGCGATAGCATCGGGGCGGTAAGCTGTTCGAGGCATTCATCGACTCCAGAGCCGTCTGCATACAAGCTGATTGGGGATGGTGTAACCGTACGTGATATTAAGCAAGTTCGGTTAAGCTTAAATTGCAACTTTAATTATTCCGAGCCTTCCACACGGGATGACATGACGCATGTATTTCAAGTCGTTATATTCCGTTATATACAGACAAATGGTTTGAAAAGGTGCTATTCTCGAGCCGCACTGCTCGGACGTTTCCTGTACCGCTCCCTCCCTACACACCGGCTCGACCGTATATGACCTTGCTCCGGCCAGCAGAGAGCCGCCTCAAGTGTAAACCAGAGCTCTACCTCCATCATGCCAGCAGAAGCGCAAATGCTATGGCGCCCGTCATCGCGATAGCTGAGGCGGTCGGCAACTTCATGGCCCCCGCCTCCGTAAGGGGCGGGTTCACCACGCCGGGGTTATCGACCATCTGGCCGCCGGCGACGGCGAGCGGCGCCACGGCGGGGCCGTATTTCTTGATCAGGGCCTTGTAGGAGGCGAGGTTCTGGGTGTTCGAAGGGTTGACGACGGCGTACATGCCTCTCGTGCAGTGCTCGGCGGTGGCGCAGTAGAAGACCATGGGGTTGGTGGTCCTGACGGGGACTCGGAAGACCTTGGGCTGTATCGGGAGTTAGATTCTGCTGTTGACCTCGAACTATCCGCAGACACCCCATCGGCCCTCCCTCGCTCCACGACAGACGGAAAAAGGGTGAAGACCACTTACTGCTTCTCCAAGCTCAGTGTCCGGGGTTACGGGATCCGGTGGCGTGGCTTTCGGCATCGCGGGTACGAACCCGGAGAAGAACCCGTTGGGCATCGGTGTGCAACTCGATTCGAAGGTCCCCTGGGCGACGGAGTGGTTCGAGGGTAGGAAGCCCGTGGGCGCGAAGTGGAACTCGATGGTGTCGCCCACCGCGGCGGTGAAGGTATTCGGCTTGAAGACGAAGGTGTCCTCTAGGGTTAAGTCCTGGACCGCGAGGACTTGGATGGTGCGTTGCGCCAGGGCGGTGGACGCGAGAGCCGCAGAGGCGACGAGGACGGAGGTGAAGGAGACCATGTTTGCGATTATGGCGGGGAGGGTGGATTGGATAATACAAGACGAAAGACACCGCGATGTGAATAAAGAACGACCAGCGAAACGGATTTCCAGCACCCAAAGAGAAAAAATAATAATAATATAATGTTAAAAGGAGAAGCGAAGGTGATGAGATAGGATGCTCTGCATCGCCAATCACGATTACATGGGATGGAGAGGTGAGAAAGGTGAGAAGGCGGAGGGGGGAAAAGGCAGAGAGGTATGGGAGGGCTGAGATTTAGTGTAGTTCTTGCCTGGCAGGTTGTCAAGGAGGGGTGACAGGGGGGGATGGGCACATGGAGTGCTCGAAGCTAGCGGTCATCCGTCGATCGGGGGTTAAGTGTCAGAGAGAAGGCCCACTAAGGAGCACCGAGAGAGGTAAAGGCTTGGACGTAAAAGGAGAGTCGCCTCATTGGGAACTGTGTGGCGTGAAACCGTGCGCGAACACAGCCGGGGCCGGATGGGGCGAGGGCGGGTCTGAAACCTTCCGGCCGTCGCCCTGGGTTTCAGCCGTCAAAGGCGCCGTTTGTTCGGGTTTCGACTGGGTGGAAAATCGGGGTTAATACCTTGAAAAGGTTCGGCAACAGGGGGATAAGTAGTTAGGAGGCGCCCTCTCCCATCGCCAAACAAGACGACGGGATGTTCAGTTATGGTTAATTTTAAATCCCGTATCGTCTGCAGGCTGGGATGATTGATTTCTTACACCAACGGTCGGGTCGAGGAATCACGATCTCTCAATCGTACGGTGCGTGCGCCGACGTATTGACACGGAGCTAGGAAGCGGTCGGTCGTGCGTGTGATATTGTCTTCCTTCATGTGATATTAATAGGAACTTGCTCCGATAAGGCCTAATGCGCGTGCTCTCGCTGACCTCGTGGTGTGACTTTTGCTAGCCAACATGGGATGTGTGGGACGATAAATGGGTTGATAGGTGCCATGTGCCTGGGGGCTGAGAATCCGTCGCCCAGTCGGACGGCGGCAACACGGGCTCGGTGATAGGGTGAATTCTCAAACTTCGCCAAGAGCGGTGCTCGGATCTTCTTCATTGGCAGGATCCGCGACGCAGCATGCTTGGCGAGCGAGCAGGGGGAAATTGATCCGAGTTTTCCGCGCTGTCAGGAAGAATAAGGTTTCGCGAGTTTAAAAGTGATTGTGACCCAAGATTAGGATTGCCGGATGTCAGGGTCGTAATTGCGAAGCGTTCGGTGTGGACGGCTATGGTGATAACAATTCTTCATGTATATTCGACGTATTATTCCCTCCATGATCTTTCGCAGGTACGATCTTGCGCAAACTTTGATTGCTCGTCTACTGAAGGTCTAGGACAGTCAGCTGCAACTGCTATTTCGTTGTTCGGACGGCTCGATAAGGGAACAAAGGCAGGACATCGCTAGGAACGACCTTCCTTGATGAGTGTTGGCGCTCACCCATCGTCCAATAACGGTACGGTACGGTGCCCAATGTGAGTATGTCTAGGGGGGGCCTACGAGACGCTACAATACTCGGGGTGGAAACTCGGGCAGTCAAACGACTAGTTTCGTAATTATGCTTAACTCGATGGTGGAATAAACCATCAAGCAACATAGCCAGTCGGACCGTACTAGCCCTGCGCCTGTCATTCGTTATAGTATGTTGGTGATCCTATGTAATCTGCTCTGGCACCCATGGCATATTACCACCCCTTATAACTAGACACCTCCCCGCCGCATCCCTGTCTGTTTCATCAATCCCCGACACTTCTTAAAGACCATTGCTCTTGCAGGTGAAAACTCCGCCGACCTGTCCGGCTTCAAACTGGTCAATAATACCCTGCACACTGACATAGGTGCCCAACGTGAGGTATAGGAACCCCGTCAAAATGATGACAACATTCAGGGCAACGGAGACGGCATCAAGAATCGGCTGCCGCGTCCTCCCGATCTCCTTGTCCGCCTTTCGCATGCGGAAGTAGGCCACGCCCCAGAAGATGAAGCCGAACCAGCAGTTGAACAAAGACGACATGACAGAGAGTACTAGTCACGCATTAGCAAGGGATAGTCCACTGAAAGGCAACCGCAAGGCATGCAACGACTTACGTGACGAGAAGAAGGGGATCACCTCCGCGATGATGAAAGAGGCTGCCCAGCTTATGGCAAGGATGAAGGACCACCAGAGCCAGCCCTTGACGGTATGCTCGGTGAGATGCCTCGTGTCCTTGAACATACGGAAGAAGACGAACCGCCCCGAGACCGAGGCGTAGAGGCATCCGACGAAGATGATGGTGGGGACCATGAACGAGTACGAAATCTTCTTGTAGGTATCGGTCAAGACGCCGAACGCGGGGGCCATCATGTACTGATTACCCGTGTACACGTAAATGATGGAGCCCACGAGGGAGAAGGTGATGATCTCGGCGGCTGTGCAGGCCCAAAGTGCCTTTGGGAAGTCGCTAGAGACAGACAGGTTAGCCCATACATACTAAGATTAGGTGAAACGGCGTTTATCCTGTCTCGCCCGACTCACCGAGGATCGCGCATCTCGGCGATAAAACTAGGTAGCGTTGTCTGGCCGATGAACGTGTAGC